GTTCTATATTTTAGACTAGCTTCGCTTCAGACAGAAACAATTTATGTGAAGTTTTAGAAAAACGTTTTCGGAACTACGGTGTTCAAAACACCATAGCTCTCTTTCGAAAGTCTCTTTTACCCTACTTGTGCCCGTGTGAGCCCTTTTATTAAGCTGCAGTCTCACTTCTCTGAAGGAAATGAAACGTTGAGGAACCCTCTGACACTTCTTATCGCAAGTGTAGACGATAATAATAAAAATATCTGTAAAAGACTCATCACTATCTGTAAAAGATATTGTCACTAACACAAAAATGCTAGGGGAAGGAAACAACACTTCACTGCACTACACTACACTTTTTGCACCACGGTTGTGACTTTGTGGTGTTTACGGGTACTGAATGGATCCAGGCAACCTTTGTAGCATTTCGAAAGTCATGTTTCTATGTTACAGATTATTGTACTGATATGACACATAAGTCCTTCACCGTTTAAAATATATTATACTTTCTCCTGGGCATGTGCAGAGATATCAAAGAGTTAGATCACGCAGTTTTATTGTATGCTATAAGAAAAGAAGGACGACAACGTATTGCTGGCTAGCATGAAATTTCTGACGACTGTCCGTCAGGTGCAAAATATGCAAATCGATGAAATAACAACTCGAAAAGGCTAAAATAAAGTTAAAATTATATATTAGTATGCCTCGATCTGGCGGATGGCATCTACGTTTTCAGTTTTTCTTAAATTCAACGGTGGTAATCTCACTACAAATTCCGATTTCACTAAAATAACTGGAATATCAGTCATTTTCTAGTTTGTTCAGCCAGAAGAATGGATGAAAATCCTTTGTTTCACACTATACCCAACCAGTTGTTCGAGGGGTACTTCGAGTGCTCGGAAATGTGCTTTCGATGGGCCTTCCTCGAGGGCTCCACCCCTCGGAAAATGGCACTTCGGACCCTCGATATAAGCGTTCGAGGGGTATTTCCGAGCCCTCGTCGATTTCCGGGGACTCCCGAGCGCTCGACGCCCCTCGAGATACCGAGGGCTCGGAAGTCCCGAAAATCGCACCTTTGGGCGACGAGGGCTCGGAAGTCCAGAACATCTCTATTCGACGGCTCGAAATTTTTCTCGAGGGGTCGCTACCTATCTGAAATCCGAGGGCTCGAAATCGATACCCCTCGAAAGCTTATATCGAGGGTCCGAAGTGCCATTTTCCGAGCGGTGGAGCCCTCGGCGAGGGCCTGTTTTCGAGTGCTCGCCGTACCCCTCGAACGACTTTTTCCATCTGCATGGGTTAATAGCGGAATATTTTGTTACATATACTCATTTTATTTTTAATGATGCTTTTATTCAGATTATCTTAATCACTCTCTAGTTAAAGTTAGAGTTGTGCATGTTCATGAGATAGCAGTGCCTTCAAAAGACCACTTATATTTTTATACATATAAAGTTTAATTAGTAAAGAAACAAAGATAGAACACAATTTTCTGCTTCTATTATCATCGTCACTAACACTGTCGTCGTTTTTCAAAATGGCTGACAATTCAACTGCAAATTTAATATCCACATTAAATGAACTTCAAGTAAACTTAACCTATTACGTATTACAAGTGTTCTATGTGTTGGGTAATGTAGGGTGTCTATTAAATGGAATTACTTTTCTGCAACCGCTTCTGCGAACATCACCATGTTCAATGTATTTCCTAGCTTCATCATGTGTAAATATATTTGAATTGAACTTTGGTCTATTGATAAATATTTTAACTTACGGCTATCAATTAAATCCATCCAATCAATCAGTTTTATTCTGTAAATTACGAAATTATCTAGTAAACAACTTCGCTTTCATATCACAAAGTTACATTGTATTGGCTTGCATTGACAGATATGCATCAAGCTGTGATGCTGTGCGAATAAGACAGCTAAGTTCAATCAGAATATTTAAGTATTTAACACTTTTTATTGGTATATTCTGGTTTATCGTTAATTTACATTTAATAATTTTTGGTGATATTGTTCAAGGACGAGTATGTTATTTTAACACAACTTTCTACTCTGTTTTTATTAGCATATACAATTTGGTTATAGCCGGTTTAGTAATGCCGTTTTTGATGATTCTGTTTGGTCTTTTAACGTTGAAGAATGTTCATCGTATCCGTCGTCAAATTCAACAATCATCAGTTAGTCCAAATATACGACGTTTGAAGCAAAGAGATATGAATTTAGTTCGAATGTTACTTACTCAAGTTGTCTTTAATGTTTTATTTACTTTATTATATACAATGGGTTTAATGTATCTGTCCATAACTACTTATGTGAGAAGTACACCGCTAACACCATTAGATATATCAATTCAATCATTTGTGTCCTATTTAGCTATTGTCTTTTTTTTCGTACCGTATTGTTTTGCATTTTACATTTATACATTGACGGCAAAAACATTTCGTAACGAACTAATGAAAGCGTTTGCTAAGTTATTAAATCAAAGAACTGTACCAATAAATTTTATAAGCAACCAAATGGCGATGGTAAGACAAACTCACGACAGAAATCACGATTGAATTAAATAGGATTTCCTATGTGTTTTACATTCATCATATAGATGAGTAATTTTGCACTTTGAAACTTTGAATTGGATTTTTTGTCTAAGTGTTTATGACGCTTAACCTTGTCTCAGAATAGAAATCAAATTTAGTTGCATTTGATTTAATGTAAATGTTCGATAAGTTGCCAGTTTGTTTTCAACATCATCAAAACCAAGAAGACGAAATTATTTTACTATTGTCGCACAACAGTAACTTTCATTATTAGCAAACAAAAGAAGAAGTAACAAAAATAGAAGATTAACACAAAAAGAAATACATTCAACCGAGTCGTGGTTATTAGATTCATTTTTGGTTATTAGATTAGAAACCTGAGGTCAGTTTCTTAAAAAAACTTAAGCAAAACTTAAATGAAAATTTCGTTTTAAGTCAAATTTTTAGCTAAGTGTGTTTCTAAATCATTACCTAACTTAACACTAGAATGAAATTTTCAAGACCTAGAACGCCCAACACGGTCAAAATGACCGTTGCTGTTCTTTTTAAAATTGTATAATATACCAATTTTAAAAATGGTTTTCACATATAATATTTGTTCGATTTTGCTATGCTTTACACACACTGGTTTATTACAAGTGTTACAATTAAAATTAGTTTTATTTTGGCAGCGTAAAATGGTATATTGCCTTCGTTTTGGTGTTTGTATTATTGATGATGGTGATCGTCTTATTGGTGATTTAGATGTTGATGATGTTGATCATTCTAATGGAGTTGCTGGTGATGATAAAGATGACTTTTTTGGCTTTCGAGTTGTTAATGATGATGTTACTGGTTTTGATAGCCTTTTTCATCATATATGCTTCTTGTTATTCTTCCGCTAGCTAGAGAATATATTTTCTTCTTGAAATTTTTCTTCAAATATTTCATTATACAATATCGAGCTATTCATACAGCTAAATCTAGAACATTGTAAAGTATTTGTAATGGAGAAGCTGCTTTTGTTGACATTCTTTTGGCCATTTGATCTAATACATCCCCCTCAAATTTTGTTTTATTGTAATAAATAACAGTATTTAGTTTTCTTTTCAAATTATTTTTCAATTTTTCCGGTTTTATATTTTGTTGAAAGAATGATGTCAACTGTTTTTGGTTTACAGTTATATCTTGTCAACAATGCGTCTTTTTCTTGAAAAAATAATGTTGAATGTAGTGACACTATTTTATCATGTTTGAAATCTGCCAATTGTTTTCGTTTACGTTTCATTGTTCCTACCAATGTAATTTTTTCTACTAACAATTTTTTTGATACCTTCAATGCAGTAAAATGATTATCACATACTACATTTATACCGGATTTGTGATATGGTGCCAAACTTTCTAATGTGACATATTCTCCCAAATTGTAAATGTGGAGGTCGGTATGAATCGCTTCCTAAGTATGGAAATCCGTTTAGTAAATATTTGGAATTTACATCAGATAACAGCCAAAATTTTATTCAAAATCTATCGGGCTTATTTGACATATATTGGATGAACCTACATTCTAAAAAAAAAGCGTTTTTTCGGGAACTGGATGTGGTTCGGAAACTCTTTTTGGTTTTGGAATTGCAATACGAAACCCTTGAAGGTTTTGCAGGTGACTCTGGAAACCGAAAGGATATTTGAGAATACGGTACAGGGTATCCGAACTGTCGGAAACCTAACAGATATTTGGCGAAAATGTTCGAAAACGGAAAAGGTATCCTCCGAAGCCGAAAGAGTATTATCCGAAACCCTTTTAGAACCTAAACTTTCTTTAGAAACTTGCTGGATATGCGAATATATCCTTTTCAGTTTGCGAGAATACCCTCTTCGGTATCTGGAAATGTTTCTACAGTACACTTCGGTTTTGGAATCCTTTGCGTTTCCGAGAGAACCCTTTGTTTTAAGTTCTTTTATCTATGATGCAAAGTTCAGTCGCATCACAAAAGCTGATCGTTAGAGTATCTGGGATTGTTCACAAATTCAACATTGTTTTTGTGATCACCCTCCTCCCTCACTTCAACTGATCCTCCAGCATATACACTGCATTCTGTTTTACTCGGTTTGTCTTCGAGAATAGAATGCAACGAGAGATTTCACTGTTTTGTCTGTTTGTTTTGAAATAGAAATGATCGACAGAAAGAATAGAGAGAAATAAGATAGTTCTCACTTTATCATACTATCACTTCGTGATTCCTATCTTTACTTTTATCTTCTTTTTTTCAATTCTATTTTTCGTTTTACATCACGCATCTACTGTATGATTACTTTTCTTCTATTTGTTTCTATTATCAAGTCGAAGTCAACTTTTCTTTTATATTTTTGTCAAGAGTTTATGTAAGGTCAAAATATGTGTATTATATAGAAAACATTTTTCATGGGCATAGACAATATTTTAAGAGAAATAAACTTTTATTGCATTCAGCCGGTTTAGTCTTTCTTGTACATGTTCACAATAACTGGAATTTTTGCATGTTGAGCCCTCACTTCCACAAATCATCGCATTTTTCAAACATTTCACTAAAATGATAAAAGTTGCTCATCAATTGTTACATTGCCATTGGGATTATAACAAGATTGAGAATTTTTTATAAAATCCTGCCAGATTTCCGAAGCTAGAAATTTTTTTGATTAAATCTTATGAAATTCTTATTTCTAAAAATTTATTTCTTGACATCGTGCCTCTATAAAAACTGGAGCCCCACTTCATTGCACAGTGGGCATTTTTCTATAGCGCAGGCGGACATATGCTATAGAACTGGTATGAAAGGCTATAAACATGTTTTTCTATTGGTTTTCGAATATGCTCTTTCTAATGATGAGATTTTCAGAGCTCAGAAGTAATTTTGTGGGTTTTCTGCAGACCGGACCTCTGGAAAACTCATAAAAAATATTTTTACATTTCGGAAACCTCACTACTGGAGAGATCATATTCGAAAACCTATAAAAGATGTGTTTATACAATTGCGTACTATTGCCGAAGTAAATATCCAACTGCCTAAGCAAAATTTGCTGCGGACAAGCTTTCAGCTGTATAGTTCAGTTTGACCGAAAATATTCTGCAGAAAAATTAAAAAGCTATATATTATTCGACGTAGTTTTTCACGGTGATTCCGAATATGGCGTTATTTGTACGAGAAAGTGCTTTGGTGAGTGAGAAAAATGTGAAATACGCGAAAATCCATAAAACCTCCTTGGAAAATATGCGAGATTTTGCGATTTTAGAATACATAGAGTAGCGTTTGAGGAACATTTTGATGTGTTTGAATGTTATTTTCGCGTGGGGCTAACGAGCGCAACCCGACTATACTGGGGTACTGTTACTACGACTGACGCGATGGAGAACATGTCGCTCTTACTTATTGAATTGGGTGCCGAAATAGAAATATTTTGCTATCAATAGATAGCTGAAGACGTGCTGGTTCTGAATATCTGCTTTGAAATCGCGTACTATAATTGAGTAAGCAAAGAATCTTTATTTCGTATGTATACATACGAACAACCGCTAAACTTTAATTCCGTGGGAGGTTTTCCAGAGATCTTCTAAAAACTTGTATGCATAAACTGAAAGCTCTATGTAGTTTATTCGACTCGTTCTACATTCTATGACCTATTCTGTGAATTCGCTGAAAATATGAGCTTTTTTGGATCAGAAATAAGTGAAATATACGGTTTTTAATTTTTGACGGTAACAGGCGAAAAATCGGGTTTTCGCCAAATTGACTTTTCTGAGGTTGTGATTTAGTGGGGAGTGGAACAAACGTCGCCACGATGATCAGCGTGGTTGATTACCTATGATCCACATGTTTCTGAGATTCTCAGACATGTCTGGAATGAGATAGGTGTGTCCTTGGAAAAGGTCTGCATCTTTGGCATCAAAGAAGATGGAAATCTGGGCCTCGAATGGCACACAATGTTAAAGCTGATCGGGGCCCTGATTTTCTCAAACATTTGCGTTCCCCAGTGTCTAGTTTCAGAATCTGAAAATCGCAGGTCGCTAGCTATCATCGTTTAAAAACTTATACGTGTCGCGCCCACACACATCGTTTTTAAAAACGCATAATACTTTGAAAACTGTCACTCAATTCATTTGATGAATCACAATCGAAAAAAATGTCTTCATCAAATTCTGAGTCATCATCTGCATCAGGTATATTTGAACGCACTTCTGGTGAATTTTGCAAATTTTGCACATATCTTCTGCCACTCATTATTGAGTAAATAATCATCAATATTATATTTATTATGTTTATTAAAAAAAAGTTTATCAAATAATAATCGCTTTGTTTTTATCTTTCAATTTTTTGTTGCAAAATGCTTATAATAAAGCCTTAGCACATCCTTTTTATCTCGCATACGAGAAGATACACACACATTCGATCTAATAAGAACGTGCACAAAAACAAAAGAGAAAAAGCATTTCCAAAGAAGGAATGGAGAGAGAATTACTTGTTCCCTTTTCTTTCTGCATGTCTCACATAATGCGGCATCAGAAACTTTCTTGAACCTTCTTTAAAAGGAAAGTTTTATCGAGCGATAATTTTATCAAAATATATTATGACAGAAAAACCCTTTTTGCTATGAATCAATAAAGTTATAAAACAACCCTTTTTGCTTTATGATATAATTTGTAAATTTTTATTGAAAATGGTCAAAATGACCGTTATGGGTTTTTAGGTATATTTTTTGTTATAAAATTTCTAGAAGGAATTTTTTCAAAATTCTGCAAAAAATAATTTCTATGGGACAAGTTGAAAATTATGATATAATTTATTTTTAAATAAATTGTTCATCAATATATGTTCAAATATATAAAGAGAATATAAAAGAAGTAAGGAATTTTTATAGGATAAGATTTGCTTGATTCGAGATTCCTTAAACTCGATTAAAATGTGTGAAATTTAACAAAGTGATGAACCGTCCTTTTTGGTTTATAAGTTAAAGTTTAGAAGTGTCAAATTGGGGAAGGCTTATCTCACAGAAAGCGATGTTCTGAATGACTGTAGCAGTCATACTTAGGCGTCAAAGTGCTTCCTTTGCGAGAACCTAGGATGAATAATGTTTTCTAAACATTAATGCATCTGTAATTCTCAGTTTCTTATCAGAGGATAATTCCATTGTTATATTATGGTTCTCAATGATTTTTCTCATGAAATAAATATAGTTTTCAACTAGATACATACCCGACGAGAAAAAACGAGAAGAACAAGTCCGTACCTTGTTCACATTCACAGTGTTAAACAAAAATGTTGGTAAATTAAACACAACCAAAAATCAAACGAAGATCAACGCGTTTCTCTTCAGTAGCGTTTGAACGAATTTTTTCTCTAATACTAAAGAAAACGCCAGTTCTGCGTACACCCACTTATTTGCTACTGACGAAGAAATTCGAAAGCGCTTTAGCACTCCGCACTGGTTTTTCTCTTCTGATTTTTTGCTAATAAAAATTTCGAAAATCAGCTTGAGATTTCCATTCACAGACGCATACAAGATAGGACCGCATCTCCACTTATCATCGTCATCCGATCCAGACAAATATTCCGAATCGAGATGCGGTGTCTCAGTCGCTGAAAGCAAGACTATATTTACAACCTTGAGTGTGATTATTCTTTACTTTCTCCTTACTCTAGCACTTTAGCATTATCAAACATGGCAAATCAACATCTACAAAATATTCCAGTCACATGACTTCCTCAAGTTCATCTTCCATCTACAACATCTTTAGCTCTCACTACACCGTGAACGTTATCAGGAATACCATTCAATACAATTCCAACATCGCAATTAGCTCAACTATTCCAATTTGCACAACAAAATTCGTCAGTTCAAATTACATTTGTTCAATCCAAACATTAGACATTTAACACTTCGTATTTTTGCTTGTTAAATAGTAATTTTGTACAGAAATGCTCTCGACATTTGCATCTCTTTATTTACATCTTTTTATTTTTATGATCGTTTTTTACTATGGCTTTCGTATAGTATTAATTCTCGTAACAGATACTTTCTTTCTTTGATCAATTTTCGATTTTTTGCAACTTGATCTTCTATGATATGTTCGCTTTTCTCTAGCGTATCATATGTCTTTCGGCCTTGTCAGACAGTTTTTCTCATTTACATAATTCTACTTTTTATTATATACATTCTTACTTTACATATTCCGTGTTGCAGCTGAGATATAGAGGGGTGTCAGAATATCAGTACGCAGTGTATTCTTAAAAAGTGACTATTTTTTCAAACTTGCTGGGCTTGGTGTATTCTCGTGTATACTTACTGAGAATACACCAAGCCCAGCAAGTATACTCTCAATGACAATACATGAGAATATACCAGAGTACCCAAATATATAAATTTCTACAAAATGTGCTGGCTTTGCTGGGCTTGGTGTATTCTCATTGACAATACAATGTTGCATAGTGGTTTACTCTCATGCTGCACCTCCTTCCCCCTCCCCCCGACCGCGACACTGTATTATGTATTATCAATGAGAATACACCAAGTCCAGCAAACCCAGGAAATAGTGTCTTTTTGAGAATACACTGCGTACCGATATTCTGACATCTCTAAGGATATATGTTACTTTGCTCAGAATTCTGCGCTCTACCAGACCATATGGTTTGCAAAAGCTTGGTGGATTCAGTGAATTCACTAAAACTTACAACATTGAGACAGCTATGTTATGTTTATTTATAACAGTTTTGTATAACCAATTAAATAAATCTTAAATTTTTATAACTTGTGTTTAAAACACTGTTACTGTGACATGTAGTTTTCTGTACAGTACGAACCTACCTACAAAAAACCATGATTGTATTTTGTTTTCGTTACAATTTATTCACATCATGAATAAAAACTGAGAATTGTTTATAAATTCTGATTCAAAGTGAAAGTTCAGTATAATATAAAATATCTTCTTTTGCCATTTAATTTTTAACCGGCTTTTATATATAAATGTTTGAGTTATACATCTGTTGAAGAAAGATGGATATTCTCTTTCACATTCTCTCCGTTCGTCATGAAAATGGTAAAAGAAAAAAAACAAGGCAGAGAAAGAACGGAAAAGTGTCAAATTTGAATGGAAAAACCGTTTTTCGCTTATTTTTCGAAAACTAAACATTGCACAATATTATGAATTTTCATTTTAAATAGTGGTCGGGATTATTAATGTTAATGAAATAAAAATTCATCATATATTTTCATTCCACGATTTTTATGCAAAAGATAACAGATTTAACGAAAGAAACATGTAAGCATATTCAAATATTAAATCCTCACTACACACACATATCCTGAAGACAAATAACAACATGCAGAAAAATTCACTTACATAGACAAATGTATTGAAAAAGTGGTGTTTGAAGGCCCTCAACATGCTCAGATGGTATATTAGTTATTCGCGACTCAATTCTAAATCAATCTACACTAAATTAACTCTAGATCGTTCTCAATTTTGCAAACGAAAAATCCCTTGGTGACAGTTATTTACGATATGCACGCAAGCGCAAATAAAAAGCTGTCGTTTTCGCAGTATTTGATACAACAACTACGTAAACATAGACACCTGCTCTTCCGTCCTCTCACGTTGGTCCTATTAGCTTTGTCACGCCTCGTCATTGCTTTTCTGTCAGGCTGTATGATATCTGTCCATGATCCTTGGCTCTTTTTCGCCGGCTAGTTTTTTACGTCAGTTTCGTTCTCGTGTCGAAGACGTATAAGCAGATTTTTCGAGAAGCTCTTTCTCATTCCCAACAATACTGGCGACGTCAGTTTTTTCAAAGCTAGTTGTGGCTCTATGTATGCATGTTTTCTCTCGGCTTCGACATTATTCGAGCCGTCCGTCTGAGTGTTTCTAAACGTACGCTTAGTATTTACAAAAAGAACAAATGCTTCTGATTCATCCTTTTACTTTAAAGAGGTATCCCTCAATGACAGTTTTATGGAGCCATACCGCGCAAGCCGCTCGCTTTCCCCGCCAAGAAAAATCACTGGGAGCCTCTTCATACTGATGAGCGATGTTATATTGTGAGAAAGGAAGCTTACTCTTTCTTCTACAGTTTATGAAGGATTTTCAAAAAAAATGAAATGTTTCCTGACCAAACAAATCTTCAGTTTTTGCCTGTTAAGAGTTGAATCTAACCGATCGGGCCCGTTGAAAAGTTTCAAGCGGATCCAGCTCTAGCGCATATGTCAGTGTTAATCGTTTGCAGCGATGCAGGATCAATCTAGAAAACCTGAAAGATATCTCCGGGTCTAACCCGGAAAATGCTTCCAACGACTAAAAAGGTTGATTATTCATACAGTCAGAAGATCAACTGGATCTTCTATAGTCACAGTTATCTAGATAGTCCAAACACCGCAGAGGGTTTACAGTCCGAAAATTCCTGTCCAGTATTAAAATATCTCGAGAACCGGTCAGTTTTCTGCACTCGAAGCTCTTTGGTTTAAACTAGATTTATTTAAAGATAAAGAAATCCTAATAACCCTCGAACTAAAGCGGCAAATTGTCATTATATAGTTCAAGGCTCTTTTTCAAAGCTCCAAAGCTCTCTTCAAAGCACTATTCCAAATTCAAAAGGCGCTCGTATGAAAAAAGTATATCAAGAATCTTCGCAACTCATTCAAGACCCTTCAAGCTGTATGAACATCACGAGTCTTGTTTATTCTTGTATAGCTTAGTGAAAAATTTTGATACAATTCTGTCAAAATTCAGAAATGAAGTTCGTTTCACCGAGTTTTTCAAGGGCGAGTTTCGGTGTAGTAGGATTCTTTGCTCTAGAAAATAACAATAATTCGTTGGAATTCAAAATTGCTTCAAAGCATTTACAACCGATTTTGGAGGTTATTATTGGAAATGATGATATGTAGGGTTGACTGAGACCGGTCTTTCTTTCGTTTCTATACGAGTGATGATGTGAGACTGTGTTAACATTAAACCACCCTTACCCTCACCCCATTAACTGAGACTAAGTTGAACTGATCTCTCACGAAGGCATCATCAATAGGAAATATTTCATTGATGGCGCATTTACATTTGACTCTTTCTGCGTACAGTACTGAAACATTGTATATGCATTAGTAATATTTTTTCTTTTTTCTTTCCTTATCAGCCATAAAAACTGCAGATAATACTCTTTCATAACTTTAATACAGTCTTACATCATCACTCGTATAGAAACGAAAGAAAGACCGGTCTCACTCAACTCTACACATCATCATTTGCAATAGTAACACAAAAATTGGTTGTGAATGCTTTGAAGCAATTCTGAATTCCAGCGAATTATTTCTAGTTTCTAGAGCAAAGACCGCTACTATACCACTACAAACTACAAGTGAGTGGTATATCTAATCAAACAACTGCAAACAGAATTAATTTTGCACGTTGACTTTTCCCTATTTAGAGCTTCAGTCGTCAGCAGTAACCACCGACGTAGCCTCAGGTCTTGCCACCGATCCTCCCCCACAACGAAAAAGAAGATTTGTTGGTAATTTCGCAATTATATGGCTTTCTCATTCTTTTTGAGTGTTGATTGGTATTAGCGTGTCGTGTACGTCTTCACAAACAAATACTTACAACACGTTTCAGCATGTCTTCCCGTCCTAAGTTCAAAATTCTCCCAATCTCCATACCCACAGACATTCTATCCTTACTCCGCATAAACTATCACGTCACCATCCAAGATCCCCTCCACCAAGCAAAAACATCCCTCGTCTCCGAATCAGAATATATCTCCTCAGGAATTCCCGGCGCCGAAAAGCAGTTCAGCGGCAAAAACGCCTCTCGCAACAGAATGGCAAAAATGGTGCTCGACGACCCTAACAAATCCGATGGAGACATGATGGTAGTGTCATATATCGTATGGAAAACACCTTTACCACCACACTCCGCCAAATCAGAGTCTGAATTAGCCGCCGCATCTGCGCAAGAAATCGCAGAACTGCAAGTACCAGAAGGAGTGGACAGGGATCTTGTTGTTCGGCTCAAGACAGAATATAGAGCCTTGAGTAAGAAGTATTTGGGTGAAGACTACGAAACCAGGTATTGGGAGCTCGATGCACTGGCAACGCTTCCAACATATCAGCGTATGGGACTTGGAACGAGACTTGTGAAGTGGGGACTTGACATGGTGGAGGCAGCTATAAAGGCAAAGCCTGCTGAGGTTGACGGCGCGTATTTGGTTGCTAGTCCGGCGGGATCGAGTACGTATCGAAACGCGGGGTTTGTGGAGGTTGGAGAGCAATTTGTGGAGGTGAATGGACAGGAGCCTTACAGGCATTGTTGGTTTGTGAAACGGTTTGAGAACAATGAACAACATTCTGGAACCGACACCTAGACGTTAGGAGCTGTTATCATCTGTAAATGATGCTGTATGACGTCAACTCTATTATTTTAATTTTGTGTTTCTTCCTCCCTGATCTTCTCTTTTGATCTTCGGTCATAGTTGATTATTTTTTCTCTCTCCTCCCCTTATTGTTGTTTTTTCTTTGTTTTTGTTAGTTATCATCATCACGAAAATAAAACTCTTTAAAAGATTACATCAAGTGAAATACCGGTAAGATATTTTCAGTCAACCCTCAATTTATAGAGCAGACATATGTTCCCATTTCGTTATCATTTTAGCCGTCGTTATATACGAAGGCTGAAGATATTAATAATTCAATAACGAGAGTCTCACAGGAGCATACTTTATCTGACTCAGTCGTCTTTTTTATTTGAACGGGAAAAATAACTGTAACCATAAGAGATCCAGGTCAAGCTGGGTACGCCGAATCTTGTCGGGTGGGTTAAAAATCCACTACTATTCGGTGATCGAATCGGACAGTTACTTTCCGATGTATTCCGGTTATTTCCATTATTTCCTATACCGGATTGACCGAGTTCGGATCGAATTTATAGAATCGGTAACGATCAGATCCGGTGGATAGATCTGTTCGTATCCAGTGTGGTTCGGGATTATCGAGTGTCGAAAAGTCATCGGAATTTGCTCTGTTACGTGACAGTTCATTTCATGATAAAGCTCCTTCAATTACTACGTAGTATCGGAACATGTCAGATTATTACAGAATGCACCAGTTCCACACATATGATTTTCTCGATTCTCTTGATGTAGATCCGACCGAAATCATAAATCGGCGATCATCGGATATAAACGAACAATCTTGTAACTGATTTCACCTGTTAGTCAATGACTCATCGAAGGGATTATCGTCGATAATTGAATGTTAAACTCGTTCCACTAGATTTGGTCGAGCGAAATCGATCCGAACGGATGACATAGTAATATCGACACTGATGTTAATAGCGATTATCAAGCGTCAGTAACTGTAAATTAAAAGTGATTTAATAGGAGCCTACCCACTTTCAACAAAAAAGAAATAAATAAAAACCGACGAAAGAGCATAGAAAGCTACAAGTAACACTGTTGAGATTTCACTACATACTAAAATAGTGCATTGTTTTAGTTCTTTTCTGTGTGTATGATGGGATGCCATGAGTTATTCAATCTGACATCTTTTATAAGGTAATCAATCTGAAATTTCGAAACTTTTCAAACTCACATTTCACCAATTAGATTTCAATGTGTGCCTTTCTAAAATGAAGAACGACACATTTTTGAGACACATTTGTCTCAATTTGTCTCACAACAAACGCACAAAGGCAAAAACCACGTTGATTATGTCGACGCCAAAAAAGAAATGAAGATGTAATTATAAGGAACCCGCTGTCGGATAAAAAACTGTCATCTTTCAATCTGTAAACAAATTTGAATGTACCCCTCTCCGTTTTCTACGTCAGTTTGAAGTACACAGGTTGTACTCCATGCCATACTACTTTTTAGAAAAAGATACCGTTGTGTTTTTGAGTTATAAGGCTACCAATATCATAGTTGAACGTATGAAAAAGCGGGTATCTACGCCAATATAAAGCTAAATGAGTTTTCAGAGAACTTTCTGAACTACCATGACTTTCCGGCTTTCTCTTCGGGCCATAGTAGTGAGAGATAATGCATATAAAACAGAAATAAGAATGGTTGAAAGGCTGCTATTATCCATAGTCAGTATCTTCTTGACACAGATGAAATCGTTAGGAACTGTTTTCTCGAAAATATGGCAAAGATATTACAATTTGTGTACTTGTTAGTGTAAAGAGGTCCTCTCTAATTATTCCAGCTTTAATTAGCGAAGTGAGCAGAATACAGCATTAATTTAGAGCTAGGGCACATTGGATAATTCAGTATTTTCCTTTAAGGAAAACACTGAAGTAATACACACAGTAATGTAGTAAGTAACACACAGTAATACTGTGTTCGTTTCGTTAAAGAGAAAACGGGTTGTGTGCTCATATTGGAAAAAGAATCAGAATTCAAAATTGTACGTTCGAAGGGAATGAAAAAAAATGGCTATCTTCCTGTGAAAATTATCTGCAGCCAAATACATAAAAAGTATACAGATGATGTAAAATATACAAATTACAAAATATTATATACAGAATATGTACACTAAGTATAATTTGTTAATTTAGAAGAAAGTCAGCTAGCTATACGACAAGCAGAACTAGATTATATTATCATATAACATTGAGACAAACTTTTTCTCCAATAGATCAGCCTATTATAAGTGATAACTTCTACGTCCAGTTTGAATAAATGCAACTTTAAGAGACTTATAATTCGGCACATCGATATATTGTTCAGAAAAAGAATATTTTAGTTTTTAAGAAACACAGGTGTCAATAGCAAAGATAAAAGTTAGTAAAATGGATCCGTTTCAATTTAATTTTAGCGATTTCACTGGAAAAAATAAATCTAGACTTGGGCTTCGTTGACTATGATATTCCGAAAAGTGATCAATAAAGTTATGTTGGTCGTTCCAAATTCGTGCAATTCTAAAATTTAAGTGAAATCAATATATTTTCCTAACTTTAGTCTGTGATATTGAGATCTCTACATCTTAAAAGCTGAAGGAAACCGTTTATTGTTCATCATTTGACACTCTTCAATAATTATCAATAGCTCTGTGTTAAGAAGATACTGACTATGGATAATAGCAGCCTTTCAACCATTCTTATTTCTGTTTTATATGCATTATCTCTCACTACTATGGCCCGAAGAGAAAGCCGGAAAGTCATGGTAGTTCAGAAAGTTCTCTGAAAACTCATTTAGCTTTATATTGGCGTAGATACCCGCTTTTTCATACGTTCAGCTATGATATTGGTAGCCTTATAACTCAAAAACACAACGGTATCTTTTTCTAAAAAGTAGCATGGCATGGAGTACAACCTGTGTACTTCAAACTGACGTAGAAAACGGAGAGGGGTACATTCAAATTTGTTAACTTTTTCATCTGTTAAGTTGCCAGAATCTACACCCATTTTATAGCGAGTGCGTTTTCCTTTTGGATAAAAACATAAAATTTGTTCTTTTCTTCATTTGTTGCTTTATATCTGTTTCTATGTGCACACAGAAGGTGCATTGACAGCGATATTGACAGCTCTGTATCTCAAAAGTACACTGTATCCTTTTCTAAAAAATAGCTCGGCATAGAGTACAGTCTGTGTACTTCAAATTGTCTTAAAAACTGGAGAGGGGTACTTCCAAATTTGTTAACTTTATAATCTGTCAAGTTGACAGAATATACACTCATTTTATAACGAATGCGATTTTCCTTTTGGGTAAAACGATAAAATTTGTTCTTTTTTTCGTTTGTTGCTTTATATCTATTTCTATGTGCACACAGAAGGTGCATTGACAGCTCTGTATCTCAAAAATTAGACTGTACCCTTTTCTAAAAAATAGCTCGGCATAGAGCACAACTTGTGTAGTTCAAACTGACG